AGATGGTAAGCTGCCTTTCATTTATGATTATAATTTTCCAGGAAAGAACAAGCATTTTAATCCAGCACATGATTTAGCTGTGGTATCATGTGGACTAGCAACTTGCAAAATATTTTTTGCAAGGCAGAACACTGTCACCTGATTTGAAGGACTCTTTGTGGGCCAAAAAAAGCAGTGGACAATCACATTAAAAAAAAGTTGCACAGAAGGCATCTCCACCAAATGACAGTCAAGAAAATCATTCAGTTAAATCAAACTTTCTCCTGTGGAGAAACTCACAAAATGGCCTCATCTAATCAATGTGTTCTTTCTCCTTTCCCTATCTTGTTGGCCTCCATATGTGTTGGAACTTAGTTCCTCATTGTGGTCAAGGGTTAGGAAGGATAGCAGATAAAATGCAGACAAATTGTTTGGACAACAGCCAGACTTATCCCGACCAGTCCTTGACTATGAAATCCATTGCATTCAAAGTTAATCATCACAGAAGTATTAAAAATAGTGAATATGATCTCTCCCCCATCTATATAATAATTCTTCCCTTCTTTCACACTAAGTTAGAACTGAAGAAGCTTCTTGGATGAGAAGCAAAATGTTTTCAAAGAGAAAAAAAAACAAGAAAGTCCAGTTGTTTTGGAAAAGCACCTTTGGGTCAACCATGATCTGAATAATTGAGACTCTCCATAGACATTTCACATTAAGAATTACAATTTGCAGTCTCTGCACTTCTGGGACCATAGCTATAAATTTTTAAACAAAGAGACCAATTTCACTAACTCGCCTTGTATAAATTAGCACTTTGCATACTCTCAGTGGCTCAGTTACATTTTATCTCATCCAATTTTTTGTTGTCCTCTATTACCATACTTATCTATTACACAAAGCCCATAATGGGCTAAGAGCTAGATCCAGATGCAAGTTGACTCTGAAGTAAATGCTCATGAATCCAAGCCTCCTCATGTCTTAGGAAAAAGTTGCAAAAATCTACAAACTAGGTTGCACGAGTTAGCATTAAATCCCCATAGGAAGTGGGCTCATGTCGGAGGTCACACAACAGCAAAATAATCTGAAAGGGGCACAAATCCAGCATTGAAAAGTCTTACTGAAATCAAAATCTGTAATACTAATGCAGGTAGTTCTCTACTTACAATCACTTGTTTAGTGACTGTTCAAAGTTACAGCAGCACTTAAAAAAGTGGCTTATGACTGTTTTTCCCAGTTGCAGCCATAGCAGCCTCCCTCTGGTCATGTGAATAAACTTCAGATGCTAACAACTGGCTCATGTTTAGATAGTTGCAGTGTCCAGGGGCCATATGATCACCTTTTGCAACCTTCTGACAAGCAAAGTTAATGGAAAGATTGATTCACTTAACAACCATGTTACTAGCTTAACAACTGTGGCAAGAAAAGCCGTAAAATAGGGCAAGACTCACTTGACATCTGTCTTGCTTAGCAACAGAAATGTTGGGCTCAACTGTGGTTGTTAAGTCGAGGACAACTGTATTAAAACAGCTGCAGCCGGAAAAAAAAAACCCAGTGCTTCTAAGATAGCCATGTTAGGGACAAAAAACCAGAAATCTAATAGCACCTTGTCCATCTAGCACCTTTTATTAAAAAATATTGGCTTTCATGACCTATGTTTGAAGAAGTGAGCTGCAGCTCATGACAGACAGGACCTTTTAATAAAATTTGTGAGTCAGAAAAGATGCTATCAGGCTGGGGTTGTTGTTTTTTTGCCAAACAACTAAGAATTTTTACCATATTCAGCATGGGGAAACTGAGCTTTGCAGTGGCCAGCTACACCAACCTGACTTTTGTCCACTCAAACCAGCCACACCACAACACTTATGTTTGTCTTAACGATCAATCGATGTAATGGGGGGAGGGAGGAAAGGCAGGCTCTTAAGCCAAAGAAAACAAAAAGGAAGGAACATCAGTATCAACTTTTTAAAAAGCTTCCGGGGCAAAGCAGAGAAGCAACATGGGCTGGCCTTAAATAACAAACCCCCCCCCCACTTTCCTGGCCCATCCCCTGGGGTCAGATTTTAACCTAATAACCCAAAGGAAGAAAAAGTTAAAATTATGCATGCCTAATGCCAGCTCCAGATGTTCTTTTCCCCTTCTCCCCCCTGCCTCCAAAATGCATAGACATAGCAGGATGGTTAAAGATGGTTTCAACTACTTAAGAAAATCAGCGTTAGCCCCCACCCTGAAATGACCTGAAAGTTTAAAAGTGGGAGGGAGGGGAAGGAAAACAGGACAGATCCTCACATTTTGTAAAATCTAAGTAGCTACTTGTTCCACTTAGCACCTCCACCCAAGCTCTGCATTAATTCCGATGTTCTTATAGCATTTCTCTCTCTCTCCCTCCCCCCTTTCAATACACTCACCTGGACTCAGGAATTATCCAGTTTCAGTCCCGCCCCCTCAGTTCCCCAGAGTGCCTCCAGTGCTCACAGGAAATCAATGCTATTGGCCTTTCCGGCTGTTACTCAAAGACTGAAAGTCACAGCCTCCCATTCCTTCTGCCACCTACGCCTATTAAAGGGACAGGAACACGCACAGAGTAAAATTAGGAAATTCTAGGGAAAAGTTCATTATTTTATCAGAATCCTACCTTGGTCAGATCAAAGCACGAAAAGAAGTGGGGAAATTAGTTAAATTAGAGCTACGTCTAAGCTCTGGATTAAATACTTTATTTTCATCTTTGCTTTTTGTATTATTCAGCTGGGGTCTGTAATATATTCTGTTTTGTTTCTGATCTAAATGTGTTTTTGTTTCATTTACAAGTGTGTTTATCGTCATCGCTTCAGAAGCCTCTATTATTATGTTATCTGGAAAAGTAGGACGGAAGAAACACTGAACTATTTTCAAATTAGTCACAGCTACTAAACTTACAATTTTAAGAGTTTTAGGAAATGGAAGGGGGAAAGGAAAACAAAGGGTAGGCATGGATTCCTTTTTCAGTTGCAGCTTTAGGTCTTTTGAAGACTACATGAACTGTAGGCATGTATAATTTATTCAATTTGCATAGCCACCCATCTCATGTGGAAGCTAAAACACACGGAGAACGGTTTCAGGAATTGGGTATGGCTAGACTAGTGAAAAGAAGGACCAGGAGTGACATGATAGCAGTGTTCCAATATTTGAGGGGCTGCCACAAAGAAGAGGGGAGACAACCTGTTTTCCAAAGCACCTGAAGGCAGGATAAGAAGCAATGGATGGAAACTAATCAAGGAGAGATTGGAGCAAGAATCAAAGATGTGGCCGAGAACCTAACCAAAATAATAAAACCCACAGATTACTACCCTTTTCTACTACTACATGTAAGGACGAACAACACCAAAATGGACCTGAAAACAATATTGAGTGATTACAAACAGCTAGGCAAGAAGGTCAAGGATTAGGTGCACAAGTAGTTTTTTCATCTGTGCTTCCAATGAAAGGTCAACATCCGGTAAGAGAACAAAGGATTCTAGAAGTGAACCATTGGCTAAAGGATTGATGTTGTCAAAAGAACTTTGGATTCCTGGACCATGGTTTACACTACCTCCATGAGGGACTTTTGGCAAGGGACAGGCTGCACCTCACAAAAACTGGGAGGAATGTTTTCGGAAAATGCCTGGCTTAACTTATTAGGAGGGCTTTAAACTAAAATTGAGAGGGGAGGATGACCAAATTTTACAATCTCTAGGACAGTGGTTCTCAACCTTTCTAATGCCGTGACCCCATAATACAGTTCCGCATGTTGTGGTGACCCCCAACCACTTACACATCACCGGGTGCCAGGGATGTGGCCAAAGAAAAGGGGGGAAAAATGGCGGACAGCCTTGTTTGGCGACCCCCATGAAATGGTCGTTCGACCCCAAATGGGGTCCTGGCCCACAGGTTGAGAACCACTGCTCTAGGACCTAATTACAAGTAAAAACCCCTAGAAAACAAATGAAATAATGAGACAAGGAGGGATGAGAAAGAAGACAAACTCAAACATCAAATAGGAGACATGGGAAGCATACCCAGAGTCAGACATAAAGATCTTAAATGCCTATATACAAATGTAGAAAGTTTGGGGAACAATCAGGGTGAACTAGAATTATTAATACATGAAGGTAGATATAATTGGAGTTACTGAAACTTGGTGGGATGAGACCCATGAGTGGAACCCACTGACAGAAGGATATAAACTGTTAAAAAAAAAACAGACCCCATAGAAGAGGAGATGGAGTTGCACTATATGTAAAAGAGATCTAACCTAGAACTAGGAAGAAATTTCCTGACAGTGAGACCAATCAACCAACAGCTTGCCTTCAGAAGTTGTAGGTGCTCCATCACTGGAGGCTTTTAAGAAGGACTGGATAGCCAGTCTGGAATGGTATAAGGCAGGGGTCCCCAAGCCCTGGTCCATGGACCGGTACGGAGCCACGGCATGCCAGCAACCGGTCCACACAAACAAGTGAAGCCCCACCCGTGGGATGCAGGCAGCACACAAAACCACGCACTCTCCGGTCCATGGAAAAACCTCTCTCCACGGAACCAGTCCCTGGTGTCCAAAAGATTGGAGACCTCTGGTATAAGGTCTCCTGCTTGGCCAGGCGGGTGAACTAGATAGAAGACCTCCAAGGTTCCTTCCAACTCTGTTATTAATAGTGAAATGTGGCTCTGAGAAGCTCACAGTAATTAAAAACAACAGTGAGAACAATACAAATATAAATAAAAAGAACCCATAACTATTAAAACCACTACAAACACAAAACATAAGCACATTTAGCAAGAAAATACAAGGAACAGATCCCATTTCATCTAATCATTTCTGACCACTATCTCCAGATCCCTAGTGCCACGGCACAGCCATGTTTTCTAAGCCTTCTTAAAGCCCAAAAGGATAGGAACCAATCTCAGTTCTGAGGGAATGATGTTCCAAAGGATGGGTGCCACAGCAGAAAATGCTCTCTTCTTGGGCTTCATCAAATGATATTCCTTACTAGACAAGATCCCTAAAATACCTCTCCTGCTGGGTCTGATGGAATGGTCCTATCCTCCTCCCTTACAGGGCTGTTGTGAAGGCAGCATCATGAATTCTAGCCAAATCTGGACAAATAAGGAAGGCAGAAGGATTCCATGTTAGGAAAGGAAAAGAGAAGGTAGGGAAACCAGTCTTGTGGGTCAAAAAAATCTTGGTATTGAAAAATATTCTTGGTATTGAATTGTTTTTATACCCTAAACCAAAGATGCCATTAATAATTAACTTTCAAAACAATGGGGAAACTCTCATACACAATGAAAAAAATGATAAATCACATTAGGCTCTAAATATCTCCAGCAACCCAATCTTTATTTTAAATTACTACCAATGGACCACAATCCAGTCTTCCCAGAGATATCTTACTTTCAAGGATAACTAGTTGAAGAGAGGGGGAGATTGTTTTCATGCCTTAGGCAGGGGATTATACTTGACAAGATTAACTTTTGTTCTGCTCTTGAAAGGAAATATTTTAGCACCTAGTCCTAGCCAGTCTTCCAGAATGCACACTCAGGATTAGTCAGCACAAAGTTAAGCATTAACTGTTAACAGAGTCCAACTCTATGACTATTCTGTGTAAATTTAAAAATACATGCATGAACTATGAAAAAAAATGAATTCAGCCTGGCCCAAAACAAGTATTTGGAAATGATCAAATACTGTCAAATAGTAACTTTACTCTCATGTGGGAAATGTTACAAAACTAATAATTGCTGCCATAATAGAAAAGCAGAACTCTGAATCTCACTATATTTATTGTAAGCATTTTTATATTTCAATGATATTTCTAGGATATACTTCAGTGATATTCCTAGGAAAGGGTTACAAAAATAATAGTTAAAATGAAAGCTCGTGCACGCGCGCACACACACACACACACACACACACACAATCTTCCCCAAAGCTAAGAATTTTAATAGTGGCATAATATAACCAGTGGAATAAACATTGCATTTTAAAAATTCAGGAAAATAAACAGTCTTCTCAGTGCAAAGGTAATGAGTTAGTCACCAAGCAAATGTCTTTAGGGAGAACATTCCAGAACTAGGCATCATCAGTAAAAGGTTTTTTTAAAGGAGATAGTGAAAGTAGAGTTTGATGAAAACCAGAGGCAATAGATAAGTAGTGACATAGCAGCTGGATTTACACATCTGTGTATGTGACACATCTGTCACAATGCAGTTTTGATTGTACATATGGCTTAGCGTCCTGTTAACCAAATCTGATGATCATGAATGAGTCCATCTTCAGGGAACCTCCGAGAGCTCAAAGCTCGGAAGACAAAACCTCTGGTCCCGGTAACCCAACCAGATTGGATCCTGCAAACCTGATGTTACCGGTATCTAGTTCAGGTAATGAAATGTCTGCAAGAAACCAACCAAGATCAGAGAGTACCAAGGACCCCTCATTTCAAATCTTCTTTATTGGTTAACCAAATCACAGCTGACTATATATAATGCATGAACCCTGTTGCAAGATTTGATAGAAGATTCCCAATAGAAAATCTACCGGACATCCTTACATGCAGACCTACCAGATCTTTCACAGAGTACTTTTATTACTTGCAAAATAAGCCTTGGATTGAGTAAACACAGTCATGCTGCCTGCAGCTCCAACTGTTGGTGGAATACATTTCAAAGATCTGCAGGAGAGACACAGCCATCTTGTTGCCTGAGAAGAAAGCCTACATTCTGTACATGCCCAGAAACCCTGCAAAGTAGTTGTATTTACTATATATAAAGCATGCACTTTGCATATTCTAATTTTACACGTCTGGTTCTGCTATCTGGTAGGATAACAGATCCTTTTCTGAATGCCTGGGAAAAACACCTTGCGGCTTGCATTGCCCTCTGCAGCGGAAAAAGTGTTTTTCCTGCCACCTTGCTGCACCACCACCACCCCGAGCCTTCCAAGAAACCCTGCACAGACCAAGGCCCCCTTTTCTGCATGGCTTCATGAGAAATGCATTCTGCGTGCTGTAATTCCCAAAATCTTGCGTCTGTAATTTATTGCACAGAATGCATTCTGCACATGCGTAGAAAGATCATGTTCGACGGAGGGGGGGGATCGGGAGGAAGAATCCCCGAGACCAAGTTGCGCCTACCTTGCTGTCTACGTAGAAATACACTCTGCCCATTCCCAGAGGTACTCTTCACCCGCTGCCACTTTTAAAAGGCCCTCCCGGCCTTCAATCTCCCCTTTCAGAATTCAGCCAGCTGGGCGTTTGGGGGCGGGTCCCCGCTGGCAACGTTTTGTCCAATGAAAACAGAGGAAGGGCGGGGCCGGCGGAGGGGCTGAACCGGCTCCTCCGTTTCCAGCGAAACCCGCTCTCAGTCGATCGTACGCAAAACGCCAGAGAGGTCGCGCATCACGTGATCCAGCCCAACCCGGAAGTGAGCGTGCTGCTCTGGGTGAATGGCGAGAGTGGGGTGGGTTTAAGAGAGGGAAACTTTTTCGGTCTCCCTCCTCGCTCGCTCCCGGTCTTCGGTCACGTCCGCGGATCCCCTTTAGCGTCCGACATGTGATCCGTTGGCTGGTTCACTCTACTTCAGGTAAGGACCATAGGCGTGGTTATACCTGCTCTCGGGGAGAGCATACCTGCCCGTGGCGAGAGGAGGGCTCTGATGAGAAGAGAGCGGAGCCGCTTAAAGGTTCGCTTCTAACTCAGGAGAGCAACTACCCCCATTTGGCAATACTTAGATAAAGCAAACTACAATTCCTATCATCCCAAGATTATAGAATGCAAATTGGATTATGCTTCCCACTCTCCGCACAAGCGCTGGCTGGAAGGTGTACTTACTGGTGGAGCTGTATTACAGCTGGGAGATCTGGTTTCCATTGCTCTAGGGCAGCGTTTCTGAATGTCAGCAAGTTGATGATAAGTGGTCTTCAACTCCATGCTGGTTGGGGAATTCTGGGAGTTGAAGTCCTCCCATCATCAACTGGCTGAAGTTGAGAAATGCTGCCTCTAGAGTGCAGGATGTAGTCGGAATCATGTGTTGCAAGAAGGCAGATTTTGATTGAATATTGCAAAGACTCCTGAAAAGTAAGATTAATGAAAATCACTCAGAGTTTCTGGGAGTTGGGTGGCATTTTGGTCTGCCTGTCGAGTATTTCCCAAGGACCTGAAATAGGCAAATGTGGATGTTTGATGTGGTACAAATGTCCTCGCAGGATGTAAGCTGTTCCGAGTAAAGCTGCCTTTTGCAATTGACTGATGGGGAATTTGTCAGTGCCGATGTTTTGGGATTGCACCCAAGGCACCTATGACTATTGATACTAATTTGGCAGTAGTACCAGTGACCCAGTCAGAAGCTGGGCTGGCCTTCATGGGATGTATTAAGACCCAAACTAAGTACAGATACTTCTTGACTTACAACCATTCATTTAGGAACCATTCAAAGTTACAATGGCACTGAAAAAAGTGTCTTATGACTGGTCCTCACACTTACAAAGGTTGCAGCATCCTCAAGGTCAAAATTTAAACTCTTAGTAACCAGCATGTATTTATGACAACTGCAAGCATCCAGGAGTCATGTGATCATCAGTTGCAACCTTTCCAGCTGGCTTCTGACAACCAACGTTGTCATTTCACAGCTGCAGTGATTCACTTAACCACTGTGACAAAATAGGTTGTAAAATTGGGCACAACTTACTTAACAATTGCCTTGCTTAGCAACGGAAATTCCAGTCCCAATTGTGGTCATAAGTCAAGGGCTACCTGTAGGTATCTGCTGTGGATGCTTTCATTTGGGTTCTTGCGCTAAGGAAGTCCACAGCCAAACTGATTCCTTTTGAGTGCTGAGATTCTGAGAATGTCAAGATTTTCCCTTATTCCAATAGTTTCCAGGCAAACTATTTAGAATTGTAAACCACCCAAAGTCACTTGTTTGAGTTGGATGGCTATAGAAATGGAATAAATAAATGAATAAACAAGCAAATAAACTATAACTTTAAATTGTAAAAAGCAGGATTCCAAGTGAATCTTAGGAAAATCTTGTGACTAGGGAGTTCAAAAGTGCAGCCATTTAGTCAGATCTGGCCTCACTTTCACTGAGATATTGAAACAAAGGCTTGGATAGTCATGTATTGTGGGTGCTTTAATAGGGGATGGAGTATTTCTTGTAATGAGCAGAGGAATGGCCTTAAAAAGGACTGCTTGGGGAGACAGAAAATATTTCAAGGATCAGATGTTCTAACTCCTTGTGGAAAATGATCTTCCTATTGGCTACAGGAGCAGAATCTCATGTGGGTATGGTGGGCCAGTCTAGACAGCAGCGTTTGCTTTTCTCACCCATGAAGGCAAAGGGTGAGCGACAAGAATGCATATCTTTCCCACTAATATTTTCCCCCGTAAGGTCCTACCTTAACAAATTTATTTATGGCAGGGAAAAAAATATGAGTTTTTGAAGGATTGATGATTAAGTCGGTATCTGGGGAAAAGCCTTTTCTCCTTCCCTTTTTGCAGCACTGTATAATTTATGTTCCTAGCTGGCATTATTTTCTTTGAGAATGTTTTCCTTCTTTCTTATAGATAATATAAAGTTTTTTCCCCTCAAATCATAGAGGTTATATCACCTCTCTAAACCTAGAGGAAGTTTCCTTATTCATCATGTGTCTGTCTTCTCACTCTGGTGTTTGGCAGATTACAGTGCCCGTTTAAGATGGAACCTACTGCCTCGGGCGTCTTCTGCAGCCGTGTGCTCAGCATGGTGAACTCAGAAGACGTAAACGCCATCATCTTGGCTCAGAAGAACATGTGAGTGGTATACATTTTTTCACAGTGTTGTATATCTTTGACCCTAACAAACTTTCTTCTCTGTCATTAATCTACTTTTGCCAGCTGATAATTTACTTCTTGCATCACTTATTCTTTTCTCTTGCTGTTTTAATCTAGAGCAGGGGTCTTCAGATTTGGCCCTTTTATGACTTGTGAACTTCAATTCCCAGAAATCCTCAATTGAAGTCCACAAGTCATAAAAGGGCCAAGTTTGAAGACCCCTGCTCTAGAGGAAAAGAAGGCTAGGACATACCGGGTATGTCTTTTTTCTCATTTTCTGCCCTGCCAGTTATCAAACCAGTAGATACTCACTTACTAAAAATCTTTTAGAAACAAACCCACATATCATATAAACAACCCAGTCCGTAGGTCCCACAAGGAAGGGGAACCATGTGTAGGAAGGGTTCACTGGAGAAACTGCTAGGGCTGGTTGCCATGCCCCAGGAAGCCACAGCATGATACAAATACTATAAGAATGCCAGCCTAATGGGGAAGGCAGGAAGTGGAAAAAGCAGGAAGTGAGCTGGCAAAAGCAAACTCCCCGGTACATTCTTATTGGGCAAAACCGTTTTCTATCTACTCCATGGGGAAGCATTGCAAAAATGGGGTGTCTGCATTCTCCAAATACAGGTAGTCCTCGATTTACAACCATTTGTGTAGTAACCATTCAAAGTCACAATAGCACTGAAAAAAGTGACTGTTGACCGTTTTTAACCTTATGACCATTGCAGCATCCTCATGGTCACATGATCAAAATTTGGACGCTTGACAACTGACTCATATTTATGACACTTGCAGTGTCCTGGGGTCAGGTAAGATCTCCTTTTATGAACTTCTGACAAGCAAAGTGAATGGGGAAGCCAGATTCCCATGTTAGTAACTTAACAACTGCAGTGGTTCACTTAACAACCATCTCACTTAGCCCCAGAAATGTTAGCCTCAATTGTGGTCATAAGTCGATTACCTGTAGTGTGCCTGTTCTTGTGAGACCCAGGGAACAGCTCAGAAGCTTGCTAAAGCACTGCAAGAATGGGGTGCATTATTTGGACAGTGGATTTGGAGAATTGCACAAGAGACCCTGGGAAGAAGGCTTTGTACAGTCAAGCCTTGCATACATAGGGTCAAGCTGGGTGCACCTCATCACCAGTGAGAGAAAAATGGTGAATGTCAGTTGAAGGCCTGTAGAACAGAGGTCTGCAACCTTGCAACCCACTTTACAATTTGTGAACTTCAATTCCCAGAATTCCTCAGCCAGAGGAATTCTGGGAGTTGAAGTCCACAAGACATAAAATGGCCAAGATTGGGGACCTCTGCTGCAGAGCATAGGGTGGCAGGGGCAACTGGGGCTTTGGATAGTGGTGCTGGGGGTGACTGGCTGCAGTGTGGGGTTTGATGTGCATTTCTGAGTGGCAGTGGCAGCTCTGATGTTAAAGTAGAGGTGTGGGGGCAGTGGCAGCTGGTTGACACCACTAAGCCTCTATTTTAGCCTCAGCTCTGGCACTGCCTCCAACAAATTCTGCTATGCAAGATGGCCATAAGGGCAAATGTCAGAGAGGGAGAGATCAGGGAAAGTTGTGGGGAAAGTTGTAGTATCCTTGCAGTCATAAGTGGTGCTCAGGCTGCCAAACACCTGAATTTTGATCATGGAGGTGCTCCAACGGCCATAATTTAGGGTAGGGGTCTTCAAACTTGGCCTTTTATGACTTGTGGACTTCAACTCCCAGAATTCCTCAGCCAGGCACGCTGGCTGAGGAATAATGGGAGTTGAAGTCCACAAGTCATAAAAGGGCCAAGTTTGAAGACCCCTGATTTAGGGCATGGCTCATAGGTCCTTTTGTCGAATGCTGTTGTAACTTCAAATGGTTGCAAGGATACCTATAGTGCTTTTGTTAGAAGAGCCTTGATTATGTTCACAGACTTATTTGTGCCAGTCTAACTCAACCTCTTGCCTTCCTCTTCAGGCTTGACCGATTCGAGAAAACCAATGAGATGTTACTCAACTTTAACAACCTATCGGGGGTCCGAATGCAGCAGATGAACGAACGCTTCCTTCACCACACTCGGACATTGGTGGAGATGAAGAAAGATTTGGATAGTATTTTTCGGAGGATCAGGTACATATACTACCTCTTTGGTCATCCAGCCTTTTTCTTGCCCCATTAGCTCCTTAGTGGCTGTGAAATTTTCATCAACAATTTCTAAATTTTCTTCAGAGCAGAGGATCTTGGGGAAGTCCCTACAGATTGAAGGGGAGTTGCAACATAACTTTTCTGAAAAAAGCTGGCATATTGTTTTCTTCTCCTTGTATTATTAAGTGACAGTTCCTTGTATTATTAAGTGACAGACAAGTGTTTTCCCTCCCGTTGCAACAACTGTGGTGTAGTTAGTTCTTTTCTTCTTCTTGCAGAACTCTGAAAGGAAAGCTAGCAAAACAGTATCCAGAAGCATTTAGCAGTAAGTAGGCTTATCTTCAATGCACATTTTTCCAATGATGATATTGTTGAATAATGAATAATACTGTATACCTTAATGCTATTCAAGGGTATTTGAGACATCATGACATGATCCTTGCTTAACTCTAAACCTTAATGGGGCTTATTTGTTTTTGGCTTACCCTGATGGACAAACTGCTTGTTATGGTTTGAGGTGTGAACTAAGCCACATGGCCCGATTAACAGAAATTTTACATAAAAAACCAAGCTACAAGAAAGTTCAATACTGTATAATATAAGCAAAGTTTTCTTGCAGTTGATTATTATTAGACATATGAATGTATTTAATGCATACTTGCTTGATAGATTATAGGAATGCTGTACAGATACAAAGCATTTGTATCTGTGAGATACTGACTAACAAACGAGTTAAGTGTGGGCTGATGGCCCAATAATTTCATAACTGGCTCATTAAAAAAGCTCAAACAGGAAGCTTGAGATCATCACATCCAGCTGGGTGCTTGGTTTTAAGGAATCCACCGCTCTTTTATAAGGATTAACTAGAGCAAGGATAGGCAACCTTGGCTCTTTTATGACTCGTGGACTTCAACTCCCAGAATTCCTGAGCCAGCCATGCTGAGGGGAAAGGGAGAGGTTTCCAAGCTGAGCAATGCTGGCTCAGGAATTCTGGGAGTTGAAGTCCACGAGTCATAAAAGAGCCAAGGTTGTCTACCCCTAAACTAGAGAATCAAAGTACAATAAGGTTTGATAGTACAGGTGGGCCTTGACTTACAACCATAATTGGGACCAGAATTTTGATTGTAAGTTGTTGTGGTCATAAGTCAAGGCACTCACTTGATCAGGTCCAATTTGTTTTACTGTTCTTATGGTGATCATTAAGCTAATCATGGTTAAGCGAATCCATTCTTCCTGAAACTGGTAAAAAAAATAATAAAAAACCACGGGACACTACATCTGAACATAAATGCAAGCCGTTTGGGGAGTACTTAAAGATGGTCATGTGACCTTGTGTGTGTGTGTGTGTGAGACATTTTATGGAGGCCAGAAAATTTTAAAACACTCTTTCTGAAGCCATCATAATTTTGAACAATTGTTAAACCATCACATAAATTGAAGACTGCCTGTATTCCATTTGTTCACCCAGAGAAATATACTGATCTTTTTTTATTATTATTACCAGTCAAAGATACTGTTCTTTTCCAAGTCTCTTAAATTTTTGGACCTGTTGTTTCAGTGCTGCAGTTAATATTGTCTGTTTTTAATGAACATTAAATATAAAAATCCAGTTATAATTTCTGTGTGGTAGACTGCTTTATATTCATTTTCTTAATAACTTTAACAGCTGTCCTGTTAAGTAAGCCAGGACATAGGTAAAATGGGGGCTGAGATTTAAGGGCCAGCAAACACTTCGTTCTGCTGGCAGGTCAGTACTAAAGGCTGATCAAACTCAGTACATCCAATGCTTTTCCTGCCTCCCTGACAATTCTGTAACAAAATCTTCCTTCCCCTTTCCAGATGTACATGAATCTCCCATCCTTGAAGATGACGACTTTGATCCTGTCCCTAAAAGTACCACCACAACCATTGCTACCTCAGAGCAGACCACTGAGTCCTGTGACACCAGTCCAGACATCATCTCTCCTGCCACCAGCCATGACTTTGAAGACCTGTCTCAGGGCCCTTATGACACAGTGGCTATGAATGGGCAGAGCATAACAGATGAGGACAATGAAACAGACTAGTCTCCATGGAAACTGTTATAGGAGCAGAGGTGGACTTTCTTCTCACTCACCACCCACCTGCTAACAGATCTGCAAACTTTTTTTTTTTTAATCTATGTTCTCTGTATTGTCTTGGCTAACTGTTTCTGTCTGGGAAGAGAGGGCTAAACATGGGTGATGGGCCTTTTGCATGAAGCACCATCATCCAAAGCAGGGGTCTTCAAACTTGGCCCTTTTATGACTTGTGGACTTCAACTCCCAGAACTCCTCAGCCTGGCTGAGGAATTCTGGGAGTTGAAGTCCACCTGACTGAGGAATTCTGGGAGTTGAAGTCCACCTGACTGAGGAATTCTGGGAGTTGAAGTCCACAAGTCATGAAAGGGCCAAGTTTGAAGACCCCTGATCTAAAGGGTGCTGATCTATGTCTGATGCCAAATAAATGTGATCTTGAGTCTAAGCCAGTGTTTCTCAACCTTGACAACTTTAAAATGTGTGGACTTCAACTACCAGAATTTCTCCAGCCAGCATGACCAGCTGGGAAATTCTGAGTTGAAGTCCACACATCTTAAAAATTGAGAAATACTAGTTTAGGCGGTGCACAGTTGGCGAGGCAGCACATAAGGAGCGGTGGTGGATAAGCTGTTGCAGCCCAACCACTCCCTTCTCTTGGACAAACTGATTAGTTATGGAAGGCTTCCTCAGTAAAGACATGGCAGCCCAACTTTTATAGTTCTTGTGTAGACAACAGTAGATTGAGCTGAACATCTTGCAGTTCCTGACCCCATTAATTATCCAATAGGCAAACATCCAAAATCTTTGGAGTCCATAGGAAATGATATGCTAATATCCAGCTACAGTTTACTCTTAGGACTTAAAAACAGGCAAGGATGCCTTCAGGAATACAAATTCCTGTGTGTTCCTCTCTCTCCATTAGGCATAAGACCCCATTGCTGAGTCTTCCTATTGGCCTCTGTATGCAGAATACAAATGATCAGAATCATAATCTGCTTGGTGGGGTGGGGATGGGGTTTAAAGCAAGCTACAATCTCTGTTTGCTTCAGGGACTGGCATTGGTGAGATTTTCAGGGGATTGTGCCTCTTAGTAATTGCTGCTACCACCGTCCTCTCGAGCTATTGCTCATCTTTGGTTGTGGATCTGATCAGTCAACAATGGTTGAAGTGTTTGGTATTCCCCCTTCCTAAAACTCTCCCTAAAAACAAAGCTTGACTTTGTACAACCTCTATCATCTAATGATGCACCTTATAAAAAAAGATGAGGGCCATATGCTGCATTGCACTTGCCTTGTGCTGTTTTCTTAAGTTTGCCACACTCACTGTTACATGTCATATTTAATATTCCAATAATTTTCCTGTGTGTTTAAACATCTCACCCCCCCTTACCACACTTTCAGTTACTGTAATGCCAATGAATGTTTTTGTTTGGTTTTTGATAGTTCCTTTCGCTGGAACTTAGCAAAACTAGATGTGTTGCTTGGAGGACAGGGTGCACTGGCCTCTTTCCTCTAATGTAATCTTGTGAAATGTGTTCTAATTCAAAGAAAAAAATATTTTTGTACTGCTGTAAGTTTACAGAGGTTAATAAGATAATAACCAATAAACAAATTACCTGAGAGCTCGCCTGCTTGACAGTAAATGGAGTTGTTTTTGGCATTTTTTTAAAACCACCCAATAAACAAAATATTCTGATAGCAAGTTATACAATGGCTGAAGGAGGGGTCAGTTTTTAGTCTAAGCAGCCAGTAAAGCAAAATGAATTTTTTGCTTTTAAAACCAGACTGAAGGAATTAATGGCACCAGTGCTCTTACCAGACTGGTGCATATTGCTGACAGGGAATGCACCAGAGAACCTTGCCATATAATCCTTTTATTTCTATCAGATAACATAGTTGGCTGGTTTAGTTGCCCACCTTAATTCAGTTCAGCCTGGAAGATAAAGCTTACCATCATTCATCCCTAGGAAATATTACACTAAAGCAGGGGTCCCCCGTCCATGGACCAGTACCGAGCCATGGCATGCCAGCAACCAGTCCACACAAACAACCAAAACCCTATCTGCAGGATGTAGGCAGCACACAAAACCGCGCCCTCTCCAGACCACGGAAAAACCTCTCCATGGAACCGGTCCCTAATACCCAAAAGGTTGGGGACCTCTGCACTAAAGAGTATTGTGTGTGTGTGTGTGTGAGAGAGAGAGAGAGAGAGAGAGAATGATACATAATTTAATTCTACGTTGTTAAAATTGTAGCAGTACCCTTGCTAGGACAAACAAGAGCGATGTTTTTACATTCTCTTCTATTATTTTATTTATATTATTGAGTGTGAATGCTTAGTTTGTCTATTTAGTATAATTAGATAAAATGCTTGACCTCTGCGTGTATTTTAGGAAAGCTACATTTCAAACAAAAAGTTACAAATAAATGTAAAACATATTGATTTGGATTTACAGACAGGATTTTTCAGTTTTCACATATACACAACTGATACAACACTGAAAAAGAGATGAGTTTTTTTTAATACAGGTAGTCCTTCACTTACAACAGTTCATTTAGTGACTATTCAAAATTACAACAGCACTGAAAAAAGTGACTTATAACCATTTTTCATACTTATGACCATTGCAGCATCCCTATGATCATGTGATTTACATTTGGATGCTTGACAACTGGTTTATATTTATGACGGTTTCAGTCATATCATCTTTTGCAACCTTCTGAAAAACAAAGTCAATGGGGAAGCTAGATTCAGTTAACCACCGTGTTACTAATTTAACAACTGCAGTGATTCACTTAGCAAATGTGGTAAGAAAAGTCATAAAATGGGGCAAAGCTTACTTAACAAATTTCTCACTTAGCAACATAAATTCTGAGCTCAGTTGTGGTTGTAAGTCGAGGACTATCTGCAGTGCTTTTTTTGTAAAAAAAAAAAAAATGCCGGAACTCACATCTTGTTAATCTTTTATTTAAAAAATTATATATTCAGTTCTTAACATAAATTTAATTTATTGTATTTAAGGCAAATGTTCATAGTAAATTCCAAAATTTTGTCCAATTCTCGTCTTGGAAATCTTCTCGACTCCTTTCCTTGCTATTAGTATCTATGGCCAAATGTTGTCCTCTGAGTAACCACAGATCAACGTACTTTGAAGGATCGAAAAGTCTCAGAGGTGGTCGACAAGTTTGATGAACAAAAGTGCTGAAATTGTCTTTATTCTATTTATTCCTGAAGTTTCCTTGACAGCATCACCTACTGATAATTCTAGTCTGTGATTAGCACAGTGCCAAACTATAATAGAAGGAAAATGTTCTGACAGCAATTTGTTCACTCCACTTTTACACCCTATCATCACAGCAGTGCTGTCGCACACCAGAGAAACCAAATATTTTTCTTAAATAATCTTCTGTCATCCCATAAGAGTGAAGACATTGGAATAAGAAATCAAATACTCCTTCTGCCGTTCTTTTTTCAAGTTCTGCCAAGTCCAAAAACAAATTTATCGGAGAATTCATTCCAACACCTTCGATACAGCATCAAACATATACTATTAGGGTAGTTTTCTTGTTTATTGTGGTTGATTCATCAATTATCAATGAAATTTTATTATTAGATTGAACAATTTCTTTAACCATAGTTTTCCTCATTTCTTCACTTATATGATTAACAATTAACAATAAATGCATTTGTAGAATGAAGGTTATGACCCATTTCAACTCCGTTCAGTTCTTGCAGATCAATTTGTTTCAAAATGATGGAATGATTGATTTTTCTTTACTACTTTATATGCAGTTCGAAAAAATTTTTCATGAGGTAATGACATTAAAAAACATTCTCAAGAGTCATTTTTTCACTTTTAGCAACTGTTTTTAATCCTGCTTAACGTGCAGCAGATTCTCTATGATCAATTTTTTTTCCCGAAATGAGCTCAACTGTTGCTTCCTATCTTTGCCAGAATAGGTTATCTCATTGTTGGTCCATTCTTTGGAAAGTTCCATTCCCATTTTCATTTCAACTCCAAGAGTTCCAACTTTTCTACAAGGCGTACAGCCAAGTTTCATTCTGCAAACACAGAGCCATTCATTTTTCAAGCAAAAATCATTTTTTTGATCATAGGTCTAGCAGTCTGGCCAGTCATTTGTAGTTTGGCTTTGCTTCTCAAGATCAGATTCAGAAATATCAACAGGCTTCGTTAGTTTTTTGTCGTTGTGTCTGTTAATATTCTGGCCTTTTTATTAGCAGGACCGTTGGTTGAGAAGTAATTAGTATTTTTTCATTTTTAAATTTGGGGTCACACTTTTACACTAAAAATTAAAAAAAGATTTTCAATTCACCTATGGTTTTTTAAAATAAATGATTTACCTTTCGCACATAGTCAATCACTGTACACACACCCACACGTCATACAACCCAACTTGTCTACCCTACAAGGTTTACCTTTGTAGTTTAAAAAAAAAAACATCTTCAATTTTTAGTGTATCTAAAAGACTAGGATTTTGTTCAAGGTAAGTTAATACTATTAATGTCACCATGTACTGTGTGGCTTTCAATTACAAGAAAGCATTTTATTAATATTTTGGGATATTTACCACTGCCATTCCCATTTAGTTTATTGAGTGGAAATGTCAGCTTTTTATGTGGAATGAAATTGGCCCAATAAAACAAAATTTGGTTGCTTGTAAAAGATTGAATTATTTTTAAGAAGTTGTCAAACCAAGGTGGAAAAATTTACATTTAGAATTTAATATGGATATTGACTGGAAACAAATTAAAGTTTAAACTTTGTCAAGTGAACTTTTAATTTACCTTTAAGTTAAACCCAATTTAATGATTAAACCTCATACTGTAGGTCTACCTTTACATCTGACCAATACATAATTAAAATACGGAGATTTTCGTAGATATCCCAGCCTTTGACCTACCAAGGAACCAAAACAGCAAAGTTTCGCTATCGAGCAAGCTACCATGCCAGCTGCCTTTCTTTCCTCTCGCTTCGCCTCTTTTTAACCTCACACCCCACCTTCCGTAAGGGAGGGCAAAAGGCAGATGGCTTCCATAGTTATGTATCTCCCACCGCCTCCATATGGTCCGACCCAGCCAATCAAGCCACGCTCTGTGCTAGCTGAGGAATGCTTTGGAGTTGAAATCCACTCATCTTAAAGTTGTCAAGATTGTTAGCAGGTGTTCTGATTCTCTACTGCATGCACATCCATACAGCAGAAAACGAAAATATTTTGCTGTATGACTTTACCATTTCTGTCCTCCTAGTCCTCCAGAGTTTATAACACCCGATATTTGTTATTGTTGTACAAAACTTTTTATTGAAATAGTCTTTCCCAGTCTGACAGGAAAGCTTATTCCCAACTACGTAAATCTACAATTCTCAAGGGCGGAAGTTTGCTCTAAATTTCCATCTCTATGGTCAACTTATCTCCCCGAGATCGCGTCTTCCTGTTGCGCGTGCGCACGATTGAGAGGAGGAGGAGGGGGTGTGTCGGCGCGGTCCGGTGGGGTTGGACAAAATGGCAGTCGCCGGCGGGGGCTTGGCGGGCCCCGTGGAAGTGGCCCTGGTGGCGGCGGCGGGCGAGACCTCTTTGGGACCCGGGAGCGGCGGCTCCTCTTCGAACTCGTCGGTTAGCGGCTGCTGCTCGGTGTGGGAAGTGGGCTCCGGGGCATCGGTGGCCGGCTACCGCGGAGGTTGCTGCGCCCCTCGTGGGCTGACGCTGCTAGGCGGGGAGCACCTTCTCGGGGCGCAGCTCGGCAAGGCCTGCGTGGGAGCCTGGGAGCTCCAGAGGAAGGTAAAGGATGAGGAGTGAGCAGCAGCTGGGGAGCCGCGCGATTTTCGGAGGCAGATATTATTCCGGGAAGAATTCGATTTTTCTCTCCTATCCCTCCCTGTCCCTTTCTGCATATCGGATACTATAGTTTTGTGTATATATTTACACGCATTAAGTATATATGTGTGTTTGTGTGTATGCATGCACGTGCGTATGATATACATACATGTGTGTACATATGCACGCAGGCATGCATAACTATATATAAGCATATATGCCTTAATTTTATAGTCTGCCTTTCGCTGAAGAGTTCAAGATGATGGTCCCTTCCTTATATACTAGGAATAATAATATAATCCTTAAATTTTTCTTCATGATATAACCTCTCTCTTTTCTTAGTGAAAAGTTTTGGAGGATGAGGATGGATTTGAACCAAAATGGCTGAGGTATAAGCCTTACACACGATAACCTTTTTAAGAATTGCCAGTTGGTTCCTCAACTTGAAATACATAAAGCTCCCAGTATAGAAATACCCCATAAAAGTATCTAGCAATTGCACTTAGACTTATATATACCACTCCCCAAACCCCGGTCCATGGACCAGGACCGGTCCTTGGCATGCCAGCAACCTGTCCGTACCAACAAGCAAAGCCCCATCTGTGGGATGCAGACAGCACACAAAATCATGCATTCTCCAGTCCCCGGAAAAACCTTTGTCCACGGAACTGGTCCCTGGTGCCCAAAAGGTTGGGGGTCTCTGTTTTATAGCCCTCTCTAAGCCGTTTGCAGAATCAGCATATTGCCCCCAAGAATCTGTGTCCTCACTTTACCAACCTCAGAAGTAACCACTGCACCACCATGGCTC